AAGGCTCGTGTAGTACACCATGTCCTTTCACTTGTGAGGCATCTGCAGCGGCCCGTCCATGGTGCTCAGGGCGTACTCGATGAGCTTGATGAAACCACGAACCGCGATCTCTTGCATGCACTTTGACGCTGCCAGGTTTCACTGTGCTGCAGACATCTTGTCTTCCTCCTTGACTGCTAGAGCAGAGTGGACGAGTGGTATCGGCTGAAGCATCTTGAGGGCAGGCTGGGCCATGGTCTTGTTGCCGCAGGTGCCGCAGAACTTCCATAAGGCGAACATGACGTCCTCCGAGAGATCGATGAGAAGCATGGGCGCCTTATGTGACTTCGAGAAATCGACTGCCATCGTGATTTGCGGGATGCTGCTGTGTCGAACTCGGAGACCACCGGGGTGTGTGCGTGGCGTGTGTGTGGTGTGGCGTGTGTCTGGCGTGTGTATGTGTGTGGGCGTGGAAAGTGATAACTACAGTTGTGTGCGCCAGCTGGTGTGCGCGTGTTGCTCGTGAGAGAGAAGGGGGCCCCGTGCCGCGTGCTTTATGAAAACGAACCAAAACGCCTCTGAAACTCACAGTCCCGCCGAAGATATTTTTCTCGTTCCCATAACAGCGGTACTCAAATCTTCCTCTGACAAATATTCGCACGCAAATGTTTGGAAACTTTTGAAGATTTTTTTCAAAGATTTGGTGACCATAAGCATGGGCCTAAGTCCTCCGCTGTTTGCTGAAATGTTCAACGACTCACGACCTCCTGTTTTTTTTTCAATACATATATCATAGAAGCGCACACAGAAGAAATACGAAATAGTCTAGTGTACTAGCCGTTCGAGATATACCCACAGCCGAATGGAGGGAACCAGCTGCAACACGCTCTCTTCCGCAACAATCGTAGTGCTGAAGATTCCACAAGGCTGCAGGCCTGAAAGCGAGTCAAAACTATAGCGTGTGCGTTCGTCGTTTTCGGTTACCCACCTCTCAGGGAAGTTGTTTTCTTCTGGTCTGGATCTTGAGGAACACGCCCAGACGTTCATGGAAATGACCACCCCGGCGCCAGCCGGCGACCTCACCAGAGACCCGGCGCGGAAGTCTGTCCAGATCGCACGATTCGTCGGCGGAATGCAGGACAGCTTGGCGTCTCTCGACCGGTACAAACATGATGCCGTTTTTTTTGTCCAGGAAACATTTTCGTTTCATAAGCCAGGCCAACCCGAACCTGATCCATTCGTTGGGATATATTGAATCGTGCTGACGCTGCGGAAAATCACATCATTCTGTTTTTACTATGTTGAGTAGGAAGACAACGATCACTTGGGAAGGAAGGGCACAATTCCACCATAAACCTTGTAACAGCAGTTTGGTTGTCCTGTTCTTTTTCTGTATCAGATGCCCCAAACCGGTTATCTGCGCGGTACACTCGGCTTGCATCGGAGGAGGTGTCGACCTTGTGTGCGCGGCTGACATTCGCTTGGCTTCGTCAGACGCCTGGTTTTCCATCAAAGAGGTGAGGTTTTGAGAATAGAACACCTACGTATACAGAAGTTACCCACGAGACGCGCGAAGACGGAGTCAGGTAGATCTTGTGCCGCCTGTTGAACTTGCAGAGTTGGGAACCGATAAACACAAACTGAAGGTGCAACCTTCGCCGCATGATCCTGAGTGTCGCTGCTCTACAAACTACCAACCCGCCACCAGTGCATCGCGCGACGGTTGTAGCACGCACCCGCCGTGCTCGTCTTTTTTTTACCGTCCAATCAACGCTGCTATCGGGCCGTTGTGCCCCGCGTTATGTCACGAGCACAACCTCCCCGGGGGAGAGACACACATCGGCTGATTGGCTTTAATATCACTACGGCCTTGTGCTGTACTTCGTAGAATTTTCGACGGGATGCTGCTTGCATGTTTGGTGACGTCCCCCCACATTGTTATTTTTCAATTGTCAATGCGATAACCGGTCGCCCCGGTGGTCTAACTGGTATCCTCGAAACCTTCTAGAGGTCAGGTCAGGGGTCCGAATCCCGGCGTAAGCGAGCTTTAATTGCAAAGGAGTTTTTCTCTCGCTTCCGCTCCTGGCCTGGTGGATAGCGCTAGTTCGTGTGTACACGGAGGGAAGAGAGCGCTGAACTCCTCTCGCATAAAAATCGAAGGCAAAGTACCGCAGGAAGGGAGGGTAGAGAGGGGCTCTTCTGCGTGACCACAGGTTTGAGTAAAACGGCACTGGTGCTGTGAGCGCTGATTTGAAGTGAAGAAAAAATAAAAAATGCAATGCTGAGCGTCTTGAGCGAGCCTACATTCTTATCGCAAGCTGTTCAACCCTGCTGTTGATCGGATTGCGGCGTCGTCAGGTTGATATTGGACTCTGCGCCGACCTCGGCACCCTGCAAAGATTGCCGAAGCTAATCGGAAGCGAGTCCTTGGCGAGGGAGCTGGTCTTTACGGCGAGAAAGTAAGTAACCCAAGCCAACACTAGAAATGGTGTGCGAGCTATACTGCCTTCAACAAGCGACGATGAGTCACGGTTGTCAGCCAGGACGTCGTGTGTGGTTCTGGCGTAAAGCCTTGTTCCCCTGCTGCTCGCCATTTACCTTTGGGCTCGAGATTTTTTGAAAGATGTGTATACCCCATCAAGCGTTGCACCCCATTCTTGACATGCACCCTTGGTGCGGCAGGTTTCCGGCCACAGAAGCTTTACAGGCGGGGTTTCTCAGCGCGGTCCATGACGACAAGTAAGTGGGCAGCACATGCGAATAGGATGGTCGCGTAGTGCATTCCAAGCAAGAGCAGTTGAGAGAGCAGGTACTGTGCTGGTTGGAATTAATGGACATTGTTGTTACACCGCCGCCGTGGTATTTATTTTCGGACGCTCGTTCCACAGGCAAGCGCTAATGGGGCACGCTGTAGAGCTAGGCTCCCAGATTGCTGCCCACAGTCCCGTGGCCATGCAGGGCAGCAAGATCAACCTCAACTACGCCCGAGACCACACCGTTGCTCAGGCGCTGCAGCACCAGGTACTGCAGTGACATCATTCTTCGTGTTGCGTGCTCCTTCATTCGCCGCCGACGCACGTATGTATATCTCATGGGGTTTTGTGTCCGTGCGTGCGTATCTTGTACTTTCTTCTCTTCGATGCTCCATTTTCTCCTGTATTTGTTCTTTCGTTATTGACTCCCCTTGCCCTCCGTGCTTGCTCTCTTCGCTCCTCTGCCTCTGTTCCACTTCCCTCTCGGCTTACGTCTTTCTATTCTGTCTCTGTCACATTTTTTGTTGCGTTGCTTCTCCTCCCAATCTCTCTGTTTTCATCTCATGTGCCACCCATGAACAATGACGACCGCCGCCATGGCTACATGTTAATCAAGGCGCTCTGGAGCTCTGTGATGCTTCAGACCGGCGATATCCCTGCAGCTATCGCGTCAGCTCGGAAGCGCAAGTCCCCGCCTCCTTTCCCGCCGCTGTAATTTGTAGATGGGGTGTCGCCGTGACCGACGTGTGGTTGTAAGCATTAGTTTGTTTAAAGCCACGCTGCTTGACTGGGCAGGGTTGAACAAACTACAATAGTAGACCTTTGGTTGGAATAGAAGAGTAAACCGTCGTCGGGAATGAGCTTTCGCTGCACCACTTGTGGCCCGGTGGCGTTTGGTCTACTTCGGTAGGAACTCAATAGGCAAAGCGGCCGGTTTCCGTCCCTTGTTTTGTGTCTCAACTCTGGAACCCGTTCATCACCAGCAGGGTAAATTCAGTGTAGACAACATCGTATTTGGCACAATTCACACTCAATCAAGAAGCACCTTACCCAGCGTTCCGAAAACATGACAGCTGGAATGACAGACGTACGCATACCATAAACCAAAACATGAATTTTGTGCTCGACGGTACTGACTGTTGACATTGAAGGAAAGAGCTACGGTGCGAGACTCTACGCATGCATGTGTTTCTAATGCTAGGGCGCGAAGCGCCAACGTCCTCATTTTTGGAACATGGCGAGTTTTCTGAAGGACCAGAGGGCATTAGTTTTTCGCCGCGGAAAAAAAACTACTGATGAGAAGAGTGTCGCGACTCTCCCGCCTGTTCTTTATTGAGCGCATACAAGCGTTACTTTCGACTACAGTATCTTCTCACACAGGTCTATATACTTGACAAGTCACTCTGCGAGCCTCTGCACACCGTCAAGGACAGACGCCACCATCCACCATCAACCACACCATCCTACCAATGCTTCGACTCAACCAACACATCCAAGCAAGAACCAAGTCGATAAGTTGTGGACAAATGTGGGTCGAGTATTTGTTTGGAACCCAAGGATCGAGCCGGATGCGAGTAAGCTAGTGTGGAAGAGACCGACCCAAGAGACAGAAGATGTTGTTACTGTTTCCTCACCGGAACGTTCATTAAGGGATGCGCTGGCACCGAAGCCTAACTCAGTTTCAGAGGTCTGAGGAGGTGAAAAGTTGGGGGGTGAGCCACGTGAGGCTCTGCCATCCTTGTCCTCTCAATGCGGTACAATCTCTTCTCTACCTTACATTTACCAACCGACACATGGATAGCTCCTCGGTGCCGTTGTACCAACTGACACAACAACATCCTGTTCGTGAGTCTGCGAACATTGCTGTTGGATACATGTGCTGGATGATTT